TAGTAAAGTTAGACATAAATGGATGAGAATGTTTCATTATCATTAAAAACTAATGGAGCCAACAATCTCTTTTTTTTTATGATTACAAAACATTCCTTAATTAATAGCATAATGTCTATCAGTTCTTTTTTGTACTGCATAAGATGAAGAATTTCTCCCCTTAAGTGTGTTCTCCCTCTTAATGTATGCAATATCTTTTCAAGTTATTTTGTTATCCAACTTATCAGTCCAGCTAATTTTTATCAATTCTTAATGAAGATAATAAGCATTGATTCAAGCATTTGACAGAACATATTTATTAATTGTTATACGAGCTTGTAGAACTACTAGTTGCACATGACAGGATATTATTGATATTATAACTAGCTATACCATCATCAACAACAGATCATATCCATTATAAACCCAAATGTAATTAACATGTCAACAACCAGCAAAGATAACAAAGTACTATATCAAAGAGTGCGTTATTAGCATCCAAATCCTAACCATCAGCAATTAAAATAGCACAGTATCATAAACAAAGTACTATCAAAGTTAGATTCCTAAGTTTCCCTTAAATTACTTCTACTTTTTCATTTTCTCTCCCTTTTTTTGTCATCATCAAAACAGGGATTAACTATAGGTTCAAAAAGAGTCAGAGGGGGTGGATTCATCAATTCCAAAGTGAACATTGAGAGGTTTAAGGGATAACACAGGTGATGATCTTTGTGGTAAGGAATCAAAAGAAGATGTGTTCAAAACTATGAGAGGTTCCTGAATGAAAGATTGGACTGAAGGTATAGCTTTCTCAACCAGTCTAGAAGATGTTCTTCTCTTAAGGAACATGGTTTTTGTTGCCATAGTCTTTCTGCTTTTTCTAGTAGGTTTGGGTTTGTTTTGTGTGGATGCAACTGCTTTCCCTTTTCTTTATCAATAGGTTCACTTTTTTCTATGATGTGAAATGATTCAGGGAAAGCTTTCACAGGGGCTGGTTTCGATGCTCTACTTTTTACTGTTTTTTTCTCTGCTTGCTCTTCCATTACCATCTAGTGAAAGACATCCATAATTAAGACTTCCTCAGAGTTTGTTGGAGAAGGTTTATCTGTTTGTACTTCATCATGTTGATGAGAATTGTCATTAAAAGATTTAATCACTTCAGTATCTTCATTAAATTCTCCTTCAACTTTTGGTCCAAGGGTAGATTGTTTTCTTATTGTAGCAAATTATATTCATCACTCTCAGTCTGAAAATCAAGACTTTCAGCAATTTGTCCTCCAGGACTTGGAGCTACTAAGTACCTCCAGATGCTGGACTAGAGTGTGTTTTTGTCTTTTCTTTCATAGAATTTGCCAACTCTTGCAAAGTATCTTCAATTTTTTGAATTCTCTCAAATTGATCAATAAGCTTCCCATCAATTCTCATTAATAAATTCAAAATCATTTCATTAAAAATTTGAGGTATTGCCTTTGTTTGAGCAAATGTGGGATACTCTTCCCTTGGAGTATCTTTAAAGGTCTTGACAAATTTTTCTCTTTCAGCTTGTACCTCATTTTTGGCAAACATCCCAGATAGATGGCTTGATCTCTGCACTTAACTTGATCCATCTCATATCTGGTGTTCCAAATGCTATTTTGCTTTACCAAGGAAGTGATTAGGTTTCCATAAGCCAGATTAACTTTATCAACTCGATAGGTTCCTCTAAGTTTTTCAATTATGAATCTTCCAAGATTGAGGGGAGATGCATTGAAAGCATGCTCCATCAGCCACATATCTTGAAGACTTATGTAACTAAAGCTACCACTTCCTCCAAGAATTATTGAAGCTATAAAATAGTGCAGAATCTTGGTTTGTGGACTTTTGATAAAACTTGCATCGCTTTTAGAGGAATATCTCTCCTTTTTCCCAATAATTACTTCCCACAAAGATGAGAGATCATAGTCCTCTAGGATTTCATAATTTTTCACATTACACTTAATGTTTAGTAAATTTCCCAGATTAGTAGTAGTAACCACAAACTCCTTCCCATTTAGAAATACATTAAGACCATCATCAACAAATTCCTCTAATAGATTATGGTCTTGGAAGCATAACGGGGACTAACAAATTCCTCTAATAGCACATTTATTTGGGACTAACAAGTGGTATCAGAGGTAGATTCCTCATTCTTAAGGCTTAACATCCTAAGAGAGATCCAAATGACTCTTCAAGCAGACTACCTTTATGTGATGGATCGAACTACCCCTATTGGAGCACTAGAATGCCAATTTATATAAGGGCAATAGATTATGAAATGTGGGATGCCATCACTGATGGACCTTTTATCCCCTTGACCATAATGTAGTGACCAATTAAATGATTCCTAAGTCAATAGCTGAATGGAAGCATCTCTTATGTTTCTTAGCTGTTGAGAGTGCCTTATATATTTGAAAAACCAACTCTAATAGATGTTTGACAGTTGCTGACCATTGGAAACAATTGAGAGACAGTTCTAGCCGTTGGTCCGTCTTCTAATATTCAAATTTAAATTTTCAAATAATGTACTCTTAGTTGACTAATTTACTTCTTAATCGACTAAATCTTTTCTGTCTTCTACTCCTAGTTTTTAGCAGTGAGCACTTAGTCAACTAACCATGCTTCTTGGTTGACTAAGTCTTTTTTGTTTTCTGATTGAAGTTTTTAGCAGTGAACACTTAGTCGACTAACCATGCTTCTTGGTCGACTAAGTCTTTTCCGTTTTTGGACTAATCAATTTCATTTTTGAATTTTAGTTGACTAACTCCCTTAGTTATCCGACTAAAAGGCTTTCATTTTGTGGCTCAATTGTAGCTTTTTATTCTTATGAGTTTTGATATTTACTTTTGAGTGACTAATTTACTAATGGTATACATTTTAGTCCTACACACTTAAGTAATAAAGTTAGATATAAATGAATGAGAATGTTTATTTACCATCAAAAACTAATGGAGCCAACAGTCACAAAGAAATCATTACCATCATTTTTTATTTTCAAAAGATTGTTATATAAAAATCACATATTTTGACCCTTTCCAAAATTAGAAAATTTTCTACTTCAAAAGTGACAAACAACCAAAAGTACCAGTGAATTTTTTTGAAGGTTAAAACTAAGTTTGATATTCAAAATATATAATATATATGCTCATTTAAAGATTTCATAACTTATTCTCTTACTTAAGGTGGAATTTCATGGCTTCAAGCAACTTAAATCTTTTAGGGATTTTCATATAGATATCGATATCCAGTGAGCCATATAAATAAGTTATAGCTACATTCATTAGACGCATTTCAATTATAATAAAAGCATTTGCGACTAGAATATAAGATTTAGAATTCTCTTTAAGTCAGAAATACATTTGGCAACTGATTTACTATATTTTGTAAATGAACTATCTTTTGAACTTCGAGTTCATATTAATTTATGCGATGATCAAAACTTATTGTTAATAAATATTTTATTGTTATAAATTATGATCAACCCTCAAGAAGATGGGGTAATTTACTTATTTTTTTCAAATTGCTTATCTTAATAAATGTCTTATTGTTATAAAATATAATTTGAAAGAATAACTATAAGAGAAAGTATTTAGAATGAGTAAGAAGATTTTATTCAAACGTGTATTTACAAATAAAGTGAGGAGCCTATTTATAGGCTAATAAATCCTTAAATCTTAATCTTAATCCAATTCAATCTATATCTAAATCTAAATATATATAATCAAATCTAAGAGTTTAAATTAGATTCACTTCTTGTGTTTGTCCTCTTATACTATTTGACTTGGTCTGAATTTCTTGAGTCATAACATAGGACATTTACAAATATATTTATAACACTTATGATTTTTTCTTTATTTTTATTTTAAGTTCATGTGTTAAGCAATATCTCCTTCAATAGAACAAGAGAATAATGTTAAATTTGTAAGAAAAGGAGCATAATCATAAATTTTTAATTATTGAGATGCATGTGTCATGTAGCTAAAGAAGGAAGACTCTTTTCCTATGTATATCTACTTCTTTCTCTTTTATCTTGTCATTAGTTTTGTTGTGGCCTAAAAGATATTACTAAATGCTTAGGATCATCATATACTACTTTCAAATATGAAACATTTTACTTAGGAGTATTTATTAGGTATGATGTCGTAGGTATCGGCCAATTATTAATGCTTTTTTAAAAAACTTTTTAATTTTACCTATTTCTTTTAATGTAGATAAATCACATATCTAAAGTGAGTAAAATTGGATCAGACTAATTACTCGAACAAATTGAATGTAATTTAGATAAAACAATTTGATTCAATTAATCCATTGGGTTCATTGATCCAAAAATTTTGATCTAATTTATTTATTTGGTCGATTCACAATCTTAAAATTTTGGACCAAACCAATCAAAAAATCAAACTTAATATTATATATATATTATTTTTATATAAATATATATTTTCCTATTTATTACTTACTAAGTTATTGTGGGAGTGTCAGTAATGAATAGCCCTCTATGTGATAGCCTATCACTTATGTAGGTTGTCTTATTTTGTCGATATTAATTTTATTAATTTTATTATATCGAATGTTAAATGTTAAAACTTAGAGGTTAGAATACTTTGAATATTAATTTTATGGTTTATGTGAATTGACAAAAATATTATGATTTATGTAAGTAAAAGGATAAATATTATGTTTTCATTATGTTTAGATTATTTATATATTTTATAATTTTTAGATGAAAATTTATAAATTTTAATATTATAATTTACAAAGATAATAGTGAAAAACTTTTAATTTTTTTATTCAAAATTAAATTGATCGAATAATTTGATATTTGATCGATTTGGTCATTTTTTTAAATTTGGTCGGTTTGATCAATTTTTTTAAAAAATTAAACCCATTAAATCTTTAATTATGATGAAATAAACCGAATAATCGAGCCGATCAATTTAAGTTTTAGTGTTAGCTTGGGAATGCCATGACTGATTTGTTTCATAGGGAAAAAATAAAAAAGAAATGAAATTACAGAAACATTTGAAAAATGGTTTAGATAAGTGAAAGTGGGATAGCGGGCTCCATAAAACTCAGGTGGCTGGCAAGATCTCAAATCTAAGGTCTGTAACGATGGCGTATGCTTTCGGTTTTAACTTTTGAGCAAGGGAAATTCAGTCATCAATCTCCTTTTTTTTTTGTTTTGTTTTCTCAATCTATTCTTGTTAAAGGTTAACAATGGCAACTCCCAAAGCCCTGAAGTCGAAACCAAGGTTGAGATCCCCGATTCCCATCATGATTTTGATGTGCATAACTGCCATTGCATTGCTTTTCTTGTTTTCATCTATGAATTCCACAAATGGGTTTTTATTCAGCTCTCCTAAAGCCAAAACCCGTTTGAGAAAGAATGCAAGGCAGCACTCTCTGCATGACAAGTATTTGTACTGGGGTGACCGAATTGATTGCCCTGGAAAGCATTGCGACTCATGCGAAGGCTTGGGTCACCAAGAATCTAGCCTCAGGTGTGCTCTTGAAGAAGCCATTTTCTTGAACAGGTAATCAACTGCCTTTCTTTCTTTTTTTCTTTCTAATTTTCATTTATCAGTTGACTAAGTTAAATTTAGTACATCTGCTAGTAATTCACTAGACTAGAATCCTTCCTCTTTCTACCCTTTTTATTTAAATGAAAAAGGAAAGAACAAGGGGCAAATTATTCATGTATTAGGATAGTAAATTTGGAATAGAGGCAATGCCATCTACTCAGAAATGAGTGTTTTCATCTTAGTATTTAGTCATCAATGTAGCTATGTATTTTCACTTGTGCTTAATGTGATTGTGAAGCTTGGGACTGGTGGTTCTTAGTGGAAGAGCTTGGTGAACAAACAGTGAATTTTAAACAAATAGAAATTACTCCAATATTGTAGAATTTTAAGATGTTGATAAGTGCCATCATTTTCTGTCTCATTTTTTATGTTATGTACATGGTGATACAATGCAATAGTATATTCTTTCTCCTATGAGTTATTGTTCATTGGAATGAAGAGTCAAGTTTTGATTTCAAAAAAAGGTAAAAAAGAAGAGTCAGTTTTGATCTATAACCTGTAGTTCAAGGCTAACTTAGCATTCTTAGTGTTACATTTGGAATTTTTTTTTTTTAACAGTACATTCAGTGAAAAATGCAACTTTTTAATGATTTCATCTGGTGATCTGTTTCCTATCGCAGAACTTTTGTTATGCCTTCCAGAATGTGTATCAATCCAATACACAATAACAAGGGAATCCTCCATAATCTTGCCAATGCAACTGCAGAGGAAAGGTTATTTTTATGAAGTTTTTTCCTTTCAGTGAACTATATAAATGTTATTGTTACTATTTATTTTATTTTTTTTCAAATGTTGTTTTTCTGCTGGGTATTTATAATCCTACAGCAAGATTGATGTGAAGTTGAAGCATCAATTTGGCTTATTAATGTAAAGTTAACAGTGAAGAAGAGAGCTATACAATCTAAACTTGCTTTTCTCATTTGGCAGGTGGGCTGCAAGCTCTTGTGCCATGGATTCTTTATACGATCTTGACCTAATATCTGAAACTGTACCTGTGATCTTAGACAATTCAAATGTATGGCATCTGATACTATCAACAAGTATGAAGTTGGGTGCCAGAGGGGTTGCCCATGTGGAAGGACTTAAGCGGGTGGATCTCAAAGAGGATAGTCACTACTCAAATCTCTTGCTTATTAACCGAACTGCTAGCCCTTTGTCATGGTACTTCATGGTACTTGATTCCATATTAAGTAATTGATTGGCTTATTCTCTTTTTCTTATGTCCCACTGGTTGATCATAACCACCAGAGTCCCCAAGTGGGCAGGTGGAGAGGGTGTAGATTTAAGTGCATTTTACTTCTTTGTAGCCATTGTTTTCATAAAATAAACTTCAATCAGTTCTATAGAAATTAGTTAAGATATCTGGATGTTTCTAAATTTTTACTCTGGCACTAATCAGGTTTATGGAGTGCAAGGATCGAAACAATCGCAGTGCTGTGATGTTACCTTATTCATTTCTTCCTTCGATGGCAGCAGAGAAATTAAGAAATGCAGCTGACCAGGTGCGTGTTATTTAATCCTGCTTTCCATGTTGTTATCTTTAAATCTTCTAGATTGCATTGTACCTTGCTTAAACTGTCAAATATTTATTTTTTGTTTAGCATTTGCTCAGAAAAACAAGGCTTCTGGGCTATCTTTTGCGTTTTTAATGCAGAAAGAATTTGAAATGTAATACACTTTTATTATTGAAACTTAGTAATATGTTAGCATAGATATTTTTGCCTCCATAAGTTGAGCTGGGAACTCCACTGCTTTCTTGTCTCCCTATATTTTCTGTGTGATAACACTTTTTACAGCTTATAGATGACTGAAATTATTATCTGGAAGTGTGCAGTTTCAGTGTCACTTTTATCTGTGTCTTTACCTGACCCTCAAAGCTTCAGCTTTATAAGCTAAGATATGAAGTGAACACATCTTGATCGTCAATTATATGATATACTTTTAACCAACACCAAACTGTATATAGTTTAGTGTAATGTTTGGACATGTTGAATAAGATGTATCCATCAAATTTTTGAGTTTCTTAAGTATAAAAAGCAATGAAAATTTTGATGGATGCAGTGTATTCTCATCATTGTCCATGCAAGATGGCCTATCCATCATTTTCTTTAGTATCTTCAATATAAAAATCTAATCAAACTCTAGATTGTTGCATAGAGTAGTCGTCATCTCTTGTTTCTGCACAATGTTTCCTTCTAATAATTCTAGCTTATCACTTAGCATTACCACGTATGTAGCTTAGTGATGGAGGATGGGAAGAAGCTAGTTGAAGGATTAAAGTATCTGTATTACAATTTATGGGTTTGATTGTAACTTTCATATATATTTAGGATATTATAGAATATCTAGGTATTTTATATAAATTAGTATCTTATGTTCCAAGGGCTGAAGAGTTATTTTTGGTACTTTGCATTTCTATTTGAGTTTAGGTTTTAGTTATAATTACCTATGTTCTTTCAGTTTCTGATAGGCTTGGATTATAAAATATTGAGATATTTGAGGATTTGATTTTGAATTCATTTTATTTCGTAAGTATTTGATTTGAAGATACTTAACACATCCCTTCTATGAGATTCATGGTTTAGATAAATCTAGCACTGAAACAATTCATAATTTTCATAGTCTAATTGTCTCCAATATGAAATGTAATGGAACTCTAGATGGATGCAGTAAGTAGTCATAATCTGTTGTTCACTTGAAAAGAGTTCAAGCTTATCACCTATCATATGCGGGTTGAAATCATACAGGGTGACACATGAGTGTACTAGGTCTCTTGTATCCAGTTTGAGGTTCAGATAAATCAAGCAGTGACACATTTTGATGTTCTAGGATCTCTAGCAAATGATTTTGTTAGCGAGAGAGAGAGATAGATGCTTATAATGTGGCATGTTTTTAGGTGCCTTATATCAACTTTGAGGTCTAGCAATTCTAGAACGTCTGGAAGTCCAATAGCAAAGAAATGACTCAGGTCCAATATCTTCATTTGTCAGTTTTGCTGGGCTAGTTTGGGCTTTTCCTATTTCTCAATTTTAGGAGTTGTCATTGCTTTTTGCCTTTTTTCTTTATATCAATCAAGCTTCATATATTTTGTTTGACATATGCTACTTCCACTGTCTTGCTTTCCCTCTTATCCTTTCCCGCTTCACTTTCTTATTCTCTAGAAGCAGTCTATAACATTGACTAGAATAAGCAGTAAAAAGGTCTTTCAATACGTATAAAATCAATTATGATCTCATTAGAACACAGACGAAGTGCATCTAGTGTCCAAAATATATGATGAGAATGATATAGCTAACAAAAAAAAATCAGGTATAATACTGATAATTGTCATCTAACATGGTATTTTTCAAACTCACACAATATACCAAGTCGGGTATTGTATGGTTATGTGCTAATTTAAAGTTACCAGCTTCTTTACTAAAATAGACTTCTTAATGTGGTAAACATAGACTTTTCTTTGGATTTCTTTGTCAAGTTTGCCTTGCTTTTGCTTACCAACCTTGTTTGGTAATCGAGAATATTGAAGGAAAAGGAACAAAAAGACTTTGGAGAAAAATGTGTTTATTTTTTGTCTAACATATTGGATAGGCAAATTGCATGTATTGGTGAAGTACCTGCCCCATATCGAAATGACTTTACATTTTGGGTATATTGAGATGCATCAGATATGTATCTTGTTATTTCAAATATATATACAGCAATAATGCCGAGGGGTAGAGTTGGCAAAGCTAATCCGAACTCGAAAAGCCTGCTTGACCCACCTGAACCTGAACCCAACTCAATTCTATTTGACCAGGAAAAGTCAACAATCCAAATCTGCCAAATTTGAACTCAAAAATGGCCTGAACCCAAAACGACCTGAACTCAAAATGACCCAAACCCAAATTGATATGACCCCATACAATTCGAAAAACTAATCTGCAGCTGAATAATCTCTCGAAATCTAGTTTGATTTGACTTTAAAAAGGTCAACAACTAGAATCTGAAATGATCAAAACCTGAATAAACCAAGTGTTGAACCTGAAAATGACCCAACCCAAACCCTTCCCACCCAACTTCCACCTCTAGCAAGGGGGCTCTGAAGTATTGATGCTTCATAATTAAAAAGGAACACTATGATCAAACTACGTTTGGTATTGAGTTCAAGGGAGTAGTGACTAGTGAGGTTATCCTTATATTGTTGTGATAATTTGGATGAGGTCAAGTTATGATCCTTGATCTCAGATGGTTTTCAATTTGAAGCTCAAATGTAGGAATACAAGTATTGTTGTGTAATTGGATGGATGTAAAGATGATATCGAACTTGCAACCTAGATTCATTATTGGATGTGAACCATAGCAAATGAAACAAATCTGATTGTATCTTCATTTCCAAGAGATAAATTGTTCTTTAGAAGTAATTTTCTGCATAACTGTTACATTACATTCTGTTTTTCTTTCGGAAAATACACATTCATTTCATAGTCCATCAGTCCCTGATATTTGTTTTTGTGTCCACAGATTAAAACACTCCTTGGTGACTATGATGCTATCCATGTTCGTCGAGGTGATAAAATAAAAACCAGGAAGGATAGGTATGGGGTTGAAAGGAGCCTACATCCTCATTTGGATAGGGACACCCGTGCGGAATTCATCCTTCGTAGAATTCAGAAGTGGGTACCAGCTGGACGAACTCTTTTTATTGCTTCAAATGAAAGAACACCTGGATTTTTCTCGCCACTTTCTGCCAGGTAAAATCTTCTTAACTGCTCAAGAGTTAGAAACCTGTATGATATACTTCATGTTGAACATGGATACATTTTTCCCTTTCATCTTTCCACTTCAGCTATGAAGAGCACGCCTATTGTGCCGAATTTTGCTTGTAGGAATTCCTAGGTTGTGCCAAATGAAGGTTTGTTATGCATATTGATGTGGTTTCATTTTCTTTATTTTTATGTTAACATTTAATGAACCACAATTTTGCTTACTTGGTGATGATATACCTTCATTGTACTGTGGCAAAAATTTATTCTGATATGCTTAAAGCTTTTTATTTATTTATAGGTTATACTTACATTTGTTGTGAGCTTTTGCATTTTGGCAAATAACATCCTGTGATTTATTTTCTAGCCCATAACACCCTGGAGTTACATGTTAATTTCACCCAATAAAATTAGAAGAGTAACCTTAAGTGTTTTAAATATGAGGGTGTTTTTTTAGTCATTTGTTGAAATTAAAAGCGTAATTCCCTATGATAGTAAATTGAAATGGCAGGGTATTCAGTGCAAAAAAGTAAGCCATCGGATGCTATTTGCAAAGTGGTGAACCTGCGGGGGGTGTAAGTGTAATTTGCTCTTTATTTATATATTTAATAGTGGAAATGGGGGGTGGGGGGTTATGAGTGATTCAATTTTCTGCAAACTGCTGTTTTAACACTCCTTACGTCGTCCAATTGACATTCATTTTGGTCTGCAAACAACAAAAGGTGTTGAGGCATCAGCAACAGCAAATGAAATGAGTGCTGGTGGCTGAGAGTTATCAAGCCAGTCCTTGCATGAAATTTACACAGGAGGTTATTCAGTGCCTTATTTCTGAGTCAGGGTGGGTTGGATTTGATAAATATGGTTTCACACAGGTGGTTTAGTGATGATGATGAAATTTTAGAAAGGTAGCATTCTAATGATGTGTGATAGAAAAGAGCAGTTTTGACTTCTGTGTTGGCAGAGCAGTATAAGATGCTAGTCTTTGGCTTTCATATTTCTAAGTCAGGTCATCTGGACTTAATTGAAGTCATGGTTATTGGGAAACTAGAATTTTGCTGACTTAAAACGAAGAGAGAAGCTAGACTGTGCTCACAAAAAGGGGATATATGGTATAAATTAAAATTTTAAGATGGTGTGTTATGCATCAATTAGATTGTACCGTGTAAGCAATAGGAAAAAACCAATGAATTGAGAAATATTAGGCAAACTTTTGAGCTAACCTTGATTATTTTGGTTGCTTATGTTTTCAGGTACAAGTTGGCTTATTCATCAAATTATAGTCAGATCTTGGATCCCTTAATTGAGAACAATTACCAATTATTCATGATTGAGAGGCTTATCTTGATGGGAGCCAAAACATTCATTAAAACTTTCAAGGAAGATGATACGGATCTCAGTCTCACAGATGACGCAAAGAAGAACACTAAGATGTGGCAAATTCCTGTTTATACTTTAGATGGAGAAGGAAGCTAACTTTTCTGTTATAGCTCAAATTCATTCTGTAATCCAGCCAATTACCTTCCACATGTAGTGTAATATTTTGCGAATATGAACATCCCTTGAGGCAACAATTTGGTCATTTTCTTGAATTGAATATCAGAATCTTGCAGCTACATTGCAGAGAATCAAGAGTCCTGGGAAAAGGTGGGAGAAAGTGGCATTGTAAATTGTGTTGTCTACTAGGATACTTCGTTGTATGTGCTTTTAAAATGCATTTTACAGCCATTTTTTTTTCTTTTTCTTATAGTAAATTCCAACATTGCTTGTTAAAATTATCCCAATTAGGTCTGGTGTCCAATGTGATTACCTTAATAAGTTTCATCTAAACAAGTGACATAATGAAGACTTAGTATTTGGTGATCTAATAATTGTGGTAATGGGATAGATCATTAGGGTGATTGTGTCATTTGTAATCTAAGATGATCATATTTAGTATGAGTAATGGTACAAATTATCAGGGATTTTCACTCATAGCAATATCACTCTTTAGCTCAGCACATCTCGTTTGTGTTTAGATATCAATTATCATGAATTACAATCATTCGTTTAAGTATGCAATAACTTGTGCAACACTTGAATGGATGTTTTCATGTAAATAAGCTTATAATTTGTTTATATTTGATCAAGCATCAACAATAGCAACAAATTAGACTTATACAATGCGCATCGAAATCACAAGGCATATTGAATGTCATATTCGTAACCGTTGAAGTCGCATAAAGGAAAATGTTTTATTAATATGAAAACGAACACAAAAGAGACCAAGATATGCTATCATCGAGCCATAGGGGCAACCTTAGAGGATTCGTTACACACATACTTTTACAAGTGAGGCAACCTAACAATCCATTGACTGTTCACCCCATATAAAAAAGATTACAAGGTTTTACAAGTCTTTCACTAATAACCATTGCAAGTACAAAAGACTTAGTCTCCTACACAATTTTACCATGTAAAAGCCCTATACAAGGTTGGCTCGTGACATCCTCAGCACTTAATTTGTCAATGTCCTCATTGACTGGTTGGCTTGAAATTCTTCAATCTTTTGCTTGAAGGTGTAAAGGTCGGCTTGTTTCTCCCAAGTGATCTCATCTGTCCCAAAACCTTCTCCTTTCAATAGATACTTCCATGTTGGGCGTCAATTGATGATGATCGTTCTCTTTAGAAAAGTCTCCTCCACTCGGCATTATGATGGTGGCTTGGTGGTGATGGTAGCTCTCATGGGTTGACTCTTGCTTGTTTCTACTAGATCTGTATGGAATGGATTCAAGTTGTTAACATGAAACGCTGGATGCACTTTCATTCATTCAAGTAGATCAATCTTGTAGGAGGTTAGCCAAGTGAAAAGGTAGAAGGGTTAAGTCTAAGCTTTGAAAAGACTATTGTGAAAGTTAAGTTTGAGCCTTTGGAAAGATTGATTTGTGAGGCTTGTGCTTTGTCCTAGAAAAGCATTTTAAGATAGTGGATTCTAAACTCTTTGATGATCCAAGGGAGAAGATGTAGGCAAAGAAGTCGAACATTTATAAAATCTTTGTGTTTTTGCGTTGCTTCTTAAAATTGCTTTTATTGTTATTAGCTTTTCAAATTGTTTTTGAAACACTAGAAAAAGAATTTTGTGACCTTACTTCATTGATTTTAAAGAAGCTCTTTTATTCTTGCTTGGTTTCAAAGCATTATACTCTCCAAAGTTTGCAAGAATTTTTGAAAACCATCAATTCACCGCCTTTTAAAGTTAAATCTTTTGTGCTAACATTCTGACACAAGTGTATTGGCCTTGAACTAACTTCAAATTCAAGATTCCTTCCAACTCATTAAATAAGGCCTTCATCTATATACCTAGTATTGTACAAGCTCAATCCATTACCCAAGCCTTTGTTGCTATGGGTAGCTCTCACCTTACCCATTTGTAGCTCCCTCTCCACTTTTTCATACACCTTTTTGGGTAGTTCTTTATGGCTTTAACATGGACTCTAAGCTACTATTAGATTTTTCGTCCCATTTGTTTATTATCAAGTCTGTAGGGAATTTGAGAACTCCCTCTAGATAAAACTCAATTAATTGAATAACATAATGTTTATCCCCCACTAACAACTCCATTTTTTCCTCAATTTGTCTTAATTGTAGTATTAATCAACATAAAATATCTTTCAAAATTGACAAACTTATCACTTTTTTCTCCCATACTAATAAAGTCATCATACAGTGTTACTATTTGTTTGAAGGTCATTTGTGCTCATGAATGAATTTGAACACCTGAAACCACCATCCAACATCTTCTCCATCCAATCATAGAAGTTTGATAGTTATTTGCCTACCCTTGACCAATCCTCAATTTCGTATTTATTAAGCAATGCCTGGTGCTTAAAAGATGCAAGGCATTTTTCCCCAATAACCTTTTTGCCTCCACACCAGTTATTACTCCTTCAACTTATTCATAATGGATTTAAGGTCAATAGTCAACAAAATTTACCACTTTAAAGTTCTCAAGCCATTGAAGCATTTCTTTAGTAACTTGGCATACACATTCTTCAAGTTGTTTTGGGTAATAAATTGACATGTTTTCACATTAGCCTAATTTCCTTTCATACGTCCTTTATCAATCAACGTGTCCTTGTATCTTTTAGTAGATCATTCACCATTTTCAAAATTGAAAGTACCTAAAGGTTCGATGTTTAGATAGGTCTATATCAGAGCTTCTATTTGAGCATCACATTGCAAAATGATTATGTTAGCAGCATAAGTTCAAAGCAATATATACTCAGAGGGGTGAATTGATATTTAAGAAAAATCCTTTTAGAATAAGTGTGAAAATAAAATGTTTTGGCAACCAAAATTCTTTTTGTGTCAAAACAAAATAAAGATTTTTCTAAGGCAAAAGCAACCAAAAATTACAATGCAAAAAATTAAAGCCAATTCTTGAGAGTGTGCATTTTTTAAATTTAGGCTGAGGTTGTCAATTATAGAGATGCCATGGTCAACTATGTCTTTGAAATATCCCATTTTTTACGCATCAAGCTCATTATGGTCAACTACACATGTGCCAAGGTCTACTATGTCTTTGCAATGTCCCATTTTCTCGTATCTAGCTCATCAAGGTCAACTACACATGTGCCAAGGTTGACTATGGCTTTGTATTCTTTAAGTTTTCCACTCCTTTTACCATTGGATCGACTTGAGCTTTTTTGGAGTTGACTCTTGACTTGTGTTTTCAAGAGTTCTTGACTTTTTGGCGCCTTTCTTCAGCTATTTCTTCCTTATCATGTTCTTATAATCAAATATAATTCAAGGCATGTTTGCCCTGTATTTTCTTAGTTGAAGATTCATTGTTTGAAAGCTTTTATTATGTTTTCTTATCATGCATGACTTTTTAAACAAATGTGTAACTTTAGGAGATGAAAAATAAGATTGAGACAATTTCAAATGCTTAACAATAAAACCAAGATATCATGTAACTTTTGTCAAATCAAAACAAAATATAACTCAAGGCTAATAGATTGAAACTTGCCATGTTAGCTTTGACATGGTATTCAAACAATCATTCATAATAAGACATGAGTTGATTTGCCATTGTTATAGAAAAATTAGATGTTTAAAGGATAAATGCTATAGAATCATTGGATTCCCACCTAATTTCAAGTTCACAAAGAACAAGACCAATTTCAAGAAGAATATATATGTTGTCAATAACACTATTATGGCCACATAGTAAGATCAAAATGAAGAAATAGTCATTAACTCTAAGTCTCAGCTCTCACTTACCAAGCATCAAATTCATAAAGTCATGGCTTTTATAAGTGAACATGGATCAGACATTGAGGATAATGGTCTTCCTACATCAAACAATCAACAAACCAAACCTTCATGCTTAATTCTACCTTTACAGGTATCATTTTAATTTTGTTTGTCTTATTGTTCAAAATCCTGTTGCACATCAATCTTTACTTAGTAGCACATATTGAATAAATCATGACTCTTGGATAATGACATTTGAGCTTTAGATCATGCTGCTTGGTCATTATAATTTTTCATTTCTTCTAGAGTAGTTGACGATATGTATGTTTAGTTACCAAATGACTTTAAAGCTATTGTTACACTTGTAGGATCTATTAGGTTAACATCATATTTGATCTTTGAAAATGTCTTGTATGTCCTTTTTTTCTTTTTCAAATTTAACTTTGTTAGTGTTAATTGCTTTATAAAGAAGAAAAGACATGGTTTAATCTTCACTGACACACATTGCATCATTCAAGATCTCATAAACGGAAAGTGGTTGGACTTGCTAAAGCACAAGCTAGATTGTGCTTCATGCAAGGCACATTGGACATGCATTTTGATCTTCGAAATTATATTCCATTTCAAAAAAATGCTTTTGTAGAAAGTGTTTCTATTAGTAATTTCAATTATGTACTTGGAAATGCTTATTTGTGGCATCTTAGATTATGACATTTTCCATTCAATACGATTCAATTGATACATCAAATGTTTTCTAACACAACATGTAAAGAAAGTATTAATTGTTATGTATGTCTTTTGGCAAAATAGACACCGTTTCCCTTTCCTAATCATTTTTAGTCTACAAACACAACTTTTAAATTAATTTAGACAAGTATTTGGGGTCCCTATTCTACCATTACAATTGCTAGTCATTATTATTTTCTTACCACAGTAGATCACTACACTAAGTTTACTTGGATATTTCTAATGAGAGCTAAGTTTAAAATTTCTATTAAATAATTAAGCTCTCATAATGACCTTGAATTCAACCTTGAAGAACTTTCCTCTTTCAAATGAATTATACATCAACTTTCACGTGTAGATACACCACAATAGAATGGAGTTATTTAAAGAAAACACCAATATATAGTAGTGGTGGTTAGGTCTTTAATGTTTCAAGCATATCTAGCATTAAAATATTAGGTGATGTACTTCTTGTGGCTGCTCACATCAATAATAGAGTTCCAACTCTAATTTTACATAACCAAGCTCTTGATAAAATTTTATTTCAAAAATACCCTTCATTTTCACCTTTGAAGGTTTTTATAGTTCTTTTTGTTTTGCTGCAACCCTTAGTCATAATAGAAAGAAATTTGATCTTAGGGCAATCAAATGCATCTTTCTTGGTTATCTTGTTGAAATCAAATGACACAAAGTATATGATCTGAAGAAATAAAGATATTTTATTTCTAGAGAAGTCAAGTTTCATAAGAATATGTTTTCTAAGTTCTAATGAGACTC